AGACACAGACTAGTCCTGTCAAGGTCACACTAAATCTTATCTACTTTCCCGGCCTATAATCCCCCGATATTCCTGCCTCATGATAAATGACCCTCCCTCCAATTAAACCTACCCTAGACACTTCTGCTTGACAACGTATGACAAAATATATGTAGCCAATTGTAGACTAACATGTGTGTAACCAATTATAAACTAACACATTATCAACTCTGTACTTCCTGCTTATAAAAAGTGTATCAGTTGCTGTTTTACTTTAAGCCAGGGCTGGTGATTTGGAAACTGAATTTTCCTCCGGCCCTCTAATGTAAATAAAACTGTTGCCTTCCAAGTGCCTCTGTGCTGTGTGTCTTCTGTCTGATACAATCCTGATTTATCCTAAACACTATCATCCCCCTGAAGACATACTCTGTGGTCCTTACAGGACCGTGAGCAGAAACTGCTCAACCAGCTCTCAAAACTTCTCTGACGAATCTTTCCCCATATAGATTTGGACTGGCCGTGCTTCTCTGACAGAATCTTAGTGGAGTCTAAGGCTGTGGGACAATGGTACCTTGTTTACTTTTTGACTTCAAATACCAGGAGGGAGAAAGACCAGGGAGAGGGGATGACTTAGGCCATGGCCTGGCCTGTATTGGAATTTCTGCAAGTAGAGTCGGGTAAACAGTTGAGGATTGGCTAGTTTGAATAATTTCAAACTATCTCTAACAATTGGCTACCCTGGTGAAGGGCACCCTCCCCAGCCAGACAGGTTTTTTTTTTTTTTTTTTTTTTTTTTTTAAGAAGTGGAAATATTGCAATATACAGAAAATTTAAAATATAAACAATATGAGAAGGTGCTTTCTTTTCTCAGTAAATACTCAGGAATGGAATAGGGGCTTATTTGCTAGTTGATGTTTGCTTTTTAAAAAAACTGCCCAATAACATTTCCCAGTAGCAGTACCGTGGTCACTCAGTACCACTGGTGGCACCTGAGGACCTCGCTCTTTCTTCTGTGTGCTCCCTGATACTGGATGTGGTCTTGCTGTTTTAGTGGGTTAAACCTCAGGTTTAATTTTAATCATGAATGGTACTATGTGCCTTTTGATGCGCCTTCTTTTCGTCTATATATTTTCCTTGGAAAATGTCTATGTAAATCTTGCCCACTTAAAATATGTTCTTCCTTACTATTGAATTTTATAAGTTTTAAAAATATATTTTCGATACAAGCCTTTTATCAGATATATGCTTCACAAATATTTCTCTCCCAATCTTTTTTTTTTGAGATGGTCTTACTTTGTGGTTCACGCTGGCCTTGAAGTCACTATGTGACCCATGCTGGCCTTGAACTTATAGCGATCTGTCTGATTCAGCCTCTTGCATGCTGGGATCACAGGAATATGCCACTGTTGCAGAATCTGTACCAAACCAGGACAGAAAACACTTTGTACCATGGAGTTTGGAAGGTGACTTACTTTATTAATGTTAGCAGGCAGATGGGAATGCAATTCCAAATCATCAGCCCTGAGTCATAGCAAAGCAGAATCTTAAATACGTTTTTGCAAGCAGGATTACAAAAGCTGATAGAGAGTTACTTCATAATTGGTTACACATGTCTAGTCATAAATTTCTAGGCAGATTTACTTGGGGATAGGTTTTGGTTACAGGAGGTCATTTATCATATAGTGAGGAGGACAACGGGAGTTGGTGCCTAGCCTGTGGGTGTAATCAATCAAAGCATGCCTTTGATTGTGCCATTTTGTCCCAGATTGGAAGACCTTGAAACAAGCTAGCAAACAGGATGTTTTTAGGCCTCGGTGTAGCTGCATATGTCAAACTATATGTACATATATAAGATCACTAACATAATTATACTACTCGTTTCTTTTAGCTCATTAAAAAGATCAGTTTGTGCTCAAATTGGTTGATTAATTTTGCATGCCTATATCTTGTAATCTGAGCAACTACTTTGAAGAGAGCAATATATATTATACATATTATGTATAACATATATATATATATATATTTACCATGGTTAGGCTTGGGTTATACTTTTTTTCGAGGAAGATCACAGAGACAGTATATTTTCTTGCTTTAGATATCTGATTGTTGAACAAATTATCTTTTTCTCCATTGAACTGCTTTTGCATTTTTGAACAAGACATGAAAGAAGAGGAGAAAGAGGTGGAAGAGGAAGAAGACTTCATTATGTACATTTCTGCTTCTGGACTTTCTACTCTGTCCCACTGATCTATTTGTGAATCATTTGAGTACAGTAGTGTATCAGTCAGTGCTCACTAGAGAAGCAGATGCAATATAAGATGTATAAACATTATTATAAGGATTTATAAGGTAGGCTTACAATGACCACCTACAGAGTCAGGTGTAGAAGACTCCAAGATGGCTGCCTACACACCAGAGATCCAAAGAATCCAGTCAAATGTCAAAGGACTGGAGCTCACTGTAGTGCCCTACGTTAGTCCAATTCAGAAGGCTGGAGGATCTGCCCAGAGACGATGTCCAAGGTGGAGGTGAATGGCTGGAGCTCCTCTGAAGAAACAGAAGACAGCCTTTCTCCTTAGGAATTCCTCCTGACTGGGGACCAATGCTGGGCATTTGATGTATGTACCCATGCCACGGGACGAGCTCAGTACATCAGGTGGGGACTTGTGTCCCTGTAGAACACCTGCTGGAGACCCAGGTATGCCTGGGGCAGATATGGGGAGATTCTGGTGGGCCCAGGGTGGGTGCAGGATGTTGGGTGGTGTCTTATGGGTATCTGGAGCACCAGGCAAATCAGGAAGAACTTTAACCCTTTCTGCTAACCAGGCAGAGGGCTGGCCTAGTGTGCTGGGCATGGACTCTGCCTGCGACCATGGTAAGATGCAAAATGGAGACTCCACAGTGCCTGGGGTGGGGCAGTGCAGCTGGCACTGACTGGGCTCTAGCAGGCTGGCTACCCAAGGAAGAGATGCATGAGGGACCGGGGCTCCTGTGGAGATCTAGGGTGCCTAGAACTGGGGCTGGGTGTCAGACAGAGTCTCTGGTAGCTCTAGGAGTGGTGCAGGGCATTAGGCACTGGGTGGAGACTTAAGCAAGCCTGGGGTGCCTGGTATGGATTCAAATGAGACCAGAGTTACTCTGTGTGCCAGAAGAATGTTCTAGTTGGCATGGGACAAACTCGAGGTAACTTTCAGTGACTCAGGCACGCCAAGAACCCAATATTGCTGACTCCAGATGCAGGCAGTCTTTTACTTGTTTGCCTTATCACAGCCTGAGATCTGGCTGCTGAGGAGACAGTCTTTCCTACCCTCGGTCTCCTGCCCCTGGTGTGTGCTGGCAAAGATGTTGCTGTGCTGTAGGTGCTTGTGTATCCCAAGTTTATCCTCTGAGGATAGATTCCGCTGTGTTCCCTGGTTCCCTCCAGCTTTGGGAAGTTCTCAAAATGGCTGTTCCCAGGGTGGACAAGGTGGAGGTCCTTTGAACCAGCCCTGGTGGATTGCTTCTCATCTTTTTAACTCCTCTGCATATGTTTTGTTTGATCTACAAGTATCTTTCAAATTGATTTTCTGTGCTTGGGTTTATGTCCCTCCGTTGTACTTAGCTGATCTCCTGTAAGTCTTGCAGATGGAACTCCTCTACTCAGCCATGTTGGATCTCTTTGGTTTTGTTTCCTTTAATACATTTTGGGGAATCAGTATCCTATCTTCAATGTTTGATAGACTGCATCAACAAGTCCTTGTGGGGTTGAAGTTTTATTTGTGGGAAAGTTTGAATTCTAAATTTAATTTTAATTTAAAATATATAGGTTATTTTTATTCAGGTTATTGGTTTGCTTTTGTATAAACTCTGGTAGCTAGGGTCTCATAAGGGATTTGCCCATTGCCTTCCAGTTGTTGAATTTATTGGCATAAATTTGGTATATTCTCTTATTGTAATATCAATAGAATATGTGTGACATTACCTCTTGTGTTCCTAACAAGGATTCTGTTCCTAGCTTGGCCATAGATCCCCTCTCTATATGTTCTTCAGGACTTGCTCATGAAGCAATGTAAAAACCTGGCTAATGTCATAGAGCCTAGTGCAATGACTATTCCTAGTGTATTTTCTCTGTGCAGGGTAGAGCTTCGGGCCTGTGGGAAGACAATGAAAACATGACAAAGTCATTTCCTCTAACCTGAAGGAGGGCTCAGTAGAGTACTGGGGACAAACACAAGGGTTCCTGAAGGCGGGCCTGGTGTGATAAAGAGAGCTCACATCTGAGCTCTCAATCTCTCATAAGAATGCAAGGGCATAGAGGAAAGAGAGAGGCATCTAGCGGAATGATCTGGCTAGTTGTGGCCAAGTCACCATCCATGGAGTTGGTTATATCAAGAAGAAAGCAATTTAAAATAGATGACGGTCAGATTCCATCAAATTCCTGAATGCCCTGGAATGTAGATGGGTTGTCAATCTTATCTCAGCATTAGGGAGGACTCAGAGAAGTTGGAAATGGGAAAAAATGTCCTGCAGGAAATAGAACAAGCAAGTAGCAATGACTATTCATGCCTAAATTGCTTACAAATCCCGATTCCACTGCCAGGGGACAGGTCGAGGGCAAAGACTTTTCAATGTTTCCCTGGAGGTTAGCTTACTGATTGCTTCCCGAAGGAAGAGCTTTTGGTGATCTGAAGGTGAGGTCCAAATTTTACTTTAGGACAAATTCTAGAAATGCAAGCTTTGGTCAGCCTTACGTTCCTAACATCTCAGTCTTCAAGGTCCAAACACATTGCACAATAGCTCGATTTCTAAATCCACACTGCAGTATATACCATGAATTTTCCCTAAGACAAGGATCACAAATTATTCTTATCTGGAGGCCACAGAAGTCATACCTCAGCCAATTCTAGTCATTCTTCTGAGTAATTCACTGTCAGTGAGTGTGGCGTTATTTATGGATGTGTGAGTACAAGGTACATTTGTGCCTGTGCTTCTTACTCCCGCCTGCTGCACTTGACACTGAGAGTCCGAGCAGCTGTGTGGCTTCGGGCTGCAGTCCCCATGGCTCCCGCACGTTCGCCTGCCCTCCTCCCTCTGTGTCTGTGCCTGCTGCTGGCATCCGGCTTTGCCCAGGCAGGCAGGCTGCTGGTGGTGCCCATGGACGGGAGCCACTGGTTCACCATGCGCTCGGTGGTGGAGAAACTCGTCCAGAGAGGACACGAGGTGGTCGCAGTCATGCCGGAGGTGAGTTGGCAGCTGGGACAGTCACTGAACTTCACAGTAAAGCGCTATGCAACTGTTTATAATATGGAGGAGCTGGACCAGACGTTAAAGGTTTTCACCGATGCTGCATGGGACAGCAGGGAAGAAAATTTATTTCATTCATGGGTTTCTATGAAGAAAGGTTTTGACATGTTGTTTTTACACTGTAGAAGTTTGTTTAACAACAAGGCCTTAGTCGAATACTTAAAGGAACATCATTTTGATGCACTGTTCCTGGATCCTACAGATATATGTGGCTTAATTATTGCCAAGTACTTTTCACTCCCCTCTGTGATCCTCACCAGGGGACTACAGTGCCATAACATTGAGGATGGTACACAGTGCCCTGCTCCTCCGTCTTACGTTCCCAGAATGCTCTCACAGTTTTCGGATGCCATGGATTTCAAAGAGAGAGTGCAGAACCATATTGCCCGTTTTGTGGAGCATTTAATTTGCCCTTATTTTCTCAACAAAGCCCTAGAAATTGCCTCTGAAATTCTCCAAACACCTGTCACAGCATATGACCTCTTCAGCCACACATCGGTTTGGTTGTTACGCACGGACTTTGTTTTCGACTATCCCAGGCCTGTGATGCCCAACATGGTCTTCGTTGGTGGGATCAACTGTTATGAGCGAAAGACCCTGTCTGAGGTACGTTCCCTCTCCTGTGGTACATGAAGGCTAACCTGGGTTTGGACATTAAATATAAATACATTATTATTGAAGAGTGGTTTGTATTTCACATGCATTAACCCCAGAATTTATTCTAACTTATTGAATTTTTTGTGGCAGTGTATCAGTAACTGTGGGTTAGTAAATTGTAAGCCTGCTGACATTGATAAGTATGCATATACCAAAGATGTAATTGCATATTATTTTCAAAATACACTTATAATAATGTTTTTGGAAAGACACTGAAAAATTATTTGAGATATGAAACATTCCTTTTCAGTAATCCTATTTTACCCCCTGCTGAAAAGTACTTTAATTAGTTTTCTATGTTTGTCTCCATTTGTTACAATTATTTTATAGGTATTCATATATCTAGTGCTAGTTTTCATACTTAATTGGATAAAATCTAATAATATATATGATCCTATAGCCTGTGTTTGTCACTTACTAATGAATCATAGAAATGATCACAGACTAATACAGATAGATATGATATGTTCTTTTAATAAGTGGATTGAAATCTTTATATTAATAGAATTTGAACCAACCAATAATGTTGCCTTTTCATTTTATGAACAATACCGTACTAACCATTCTTAAATATTATCTTTCCATTCATGTATTTCTATTCTTACTGTTCTCTGAGTAGACTAGTGTTCTACAAGGCGAGGTGCTGGAGGAAATGATATCTAGGTTGCATTTTAATACACTTGTGAAGCTGCTTTCAAAATCTTGAATAGCATCACACTGTTACGAGCCATACAGTAGGGCAGTAACTTTCCCATTCCCTCACCAGGTCCAGGTACTATCTAACTTTTGAAGTTTTGCTAATTTTCTGAGCAAAAATGTGTGTGGTGGCTTCGGGTTCACTTTCTAATTTAGAACAGTTGCATTTCTTTTGTGCATTTCACAGTTATATTTGTTAATCATTTTTAATATGGCTTTTTAAAATCACTGGCATCCATAATCCCCTCAACCCCTTAATCATTAGGAATAGTAACTGTGCTGCAAATATTTATCCTGGGCTGTTACCTTTTATCATATAGTTTTTTAATTAAAAAGCCAAATTGATTAAATTAAATTTCATTTAATAATTTCTATATTTCAATTTGTTTAGATCTTTCCAAGCTTCAGATATAAAACCATTTTCTCCATATTATGTTTTACAGTTTTTAGTTCTTCCAATGTTGGTAGCAGGCTTTTTCACCATGAGAACTTTGATCTACAGAGTACAAAGATCTGAGTCTATTTGTTTAGTCAAAGGTAGTCATTTGTCCCCGCTCCTTTTAAACGATAATTTCAGTCTTTATCTGTTGAACTGAAATATATCTTCATCATGTTTTTATTTTCTACATGCTTTGCATCTGCCTCTGAAGTCTCAGTGTTCTTCCATGGACTTTTTATCTATTCATGCTCCAGTATTATATTTTGATTAAGCTGTTTTGTAGTGAATTTTGATATGGTGGAGGGCTAACCTTGAACTCACTATTCAAGTTGCTAAGTTTTCATGTTGATTCTCATAGTATGTTGTCCCTTATACAGCTTTAAATTGTTGAGTTCTAAAAAATAAAATGAGCCATTCATGGTGGCACACGTCTGAAATTCTAGCATTTGGGAGGCGGAGGTAGGAGGATCACTGAGTTTGAGGCCAGCCTGGGCTACAAAGGGAGTTCAAGGCCAGCCTGAATTGCACAGTGAAACCCTGTGTCAGAAAGACAACAAAACGAAACAAAACAAAATGAAATAAAACCCTAAGGCTTTGTTGATTTGACTTGAGATGTCTTTATTAATTTGAGAAAGACTAGATTTTTTTCTTTGTCTTCCTATTCTGATAGATGTATTTCTTTGTACTCATTTAGGTCTTTTTTTTTCCATCAGTAGAAATTTGCACTTTATTTATATAATAGTTTTTCTTTCATCTTAAAATTTATTTCTAGGGACTGGGGATTTAGCTCAGCAGCAAAGTGCCTGCCTGGCAAGCGCAAGGTCGTGAGTTTGGTTCCCGGTACCGGAGAAAAACCAAAAAAAAAAAAAAATTTATTTCTAGACACTTTATTTTTTTTTTTTTGTACAGGGTAATTTCCTTTTCTTTTGAATTGGTTATTGAAAAATGATAGTTTTTGCACATTTACTTCAAATTTATATTCTCAATTTCCTTCTTAATTTGTAATATTTATTAGGCATGCAGTGTTATGGGGAAATAATTCTCTTCACTGATACTTTTCCTACTTCTTTTACTTTATTCAGGCATATGCCTTCAAAACACTGGTTTGGGCAGTTTAGGATGGAACTCAATCACTTGGAATTGAAAAAGTCATGACAAATCCAAGAGTGATAATCTTGGGAAAGGCATAATGGATAAACTTTTGTGAATCATCCCATCATTACCTCAGTGTATTATTTTATTAAGGATGGACTGTTAATTTTTATCTTTTGTTCTGGCTTTTTTTTGTGTCAGTAGAATTCAGAGCAGAGTCATATTCTTACACATGCTAGCATGTGAGAGTGTCTTACTTGCTCATTCCTGGGACAAAATACCCAATAACCCCCAGTAGGAGGAACAGCTTATTTTAGCTCTCAGTTTGTAGAGATTTCAGTCTATAGATGGTTTTAAGGCAGGGTAGCATGGCAGAAGGGCATGGTGGAGGAGAATGAGTCCATGGCAGGGCAGGCAGGAGCCAGGAAGCAGTGAGCCTGTCATCTTTCTTTCCCTTTTTATTCCATCCAGGCTATATGCCTATTGGTTGGTGCCATTCACACCCGTGTTGGGGCTTGCCTCTTCAGTAATCCCATCACCCACAACCACACTAAACCAATTAGTGCACCAAACCAGTTATGACACCCTTGATCCGGAATCACACACACATGAACCAGCCACTTTCCAAAAGCCCCACCTGTGAGTGTATGAGGCTTTAGGGGGACATCTAGATACAAGCCATAACAGAGGGTCTTTTCAGCAGTTGTGAGAAAGTGAAATAATACAGTCTGGGAAACTACAGTTTTTGAAAGTATGCCTCAGTTAGGTCTGTCTGTCTAATCTTGGCATGATCAGATGAGGAGATACAAGTTGATGGGCTTTAACAGATGGAGTCATTCAAAGGGCCACCTTCCATTTACCCTCCACCAATACAGGTCAAACAGTAGTCAGGCCCTGCCTCCTCCCTTACCCTCTTTAGGAGTGGGGCCCTGAAACTTCCTGAACCAACTGTGAGTTAAGAATGGTTCACTGGGCCAGGCAGGTTCAGAGATATAGTTATGATCTATGATTGTGTATCATCCATCATATGGAGATACAGTATTGTCTCCATGGTGTGAGAAACTGAAAGAGTAAATAAGATCTGAAATGTACAATAGATATTGTGAAATGAAAAGAAATTGTTCAAAAGGAAAAAGAAACTAGGATGTGTAAAAGGGGAAAGGACAGTAGGGAAAAGGGAAAAAATTCAAGTTAGTGATACTATTAGTGCCTCTTAGTTCATTAAAGAAGAAGGCTTGTGCTACTATCAATTGGAGAAATTTTTATGCCCATATCTTATACTCTGAGCAACTACTTTAAAGATAGCAACATGTAATGTATTAACTATTGTTATTCTTCTATTATTTTGTTATGAAATTTTGTTTTACCTTTTTTCCATAAAAAAATTGAAACATACTGAATCATTTGGAGTTTTAAATGTGTGGTTTGAAAACACATATAATTGTAAAACCTAATAAAATATATGATATATGGGTATTAAAGTATATATATTCATATAGTGGAAGATTATATATTTATAAGTATAAGAAAGCAAAATTCTGAAAGAGGAACTCGGATTTCAAAGAAGGTCCTTTGGCTAAGAGTGTAAATACAGTACAAGTGGAAAGGGAAAGTTTTACTGGAGGAGTTGTAGACTGTGTATAAAACTGAGGCCTTGTTTTAGAGGAGCAAGGAAAACCACAGTCTGTATTGCTGGAGAACAGGAGACATAGTGTGAGTTGTATCTGCTAAGAAGGAAACAATGAATTTGTGTGTGTATGTGTGTGTGTTTGTATGTTTCAGGGCATGTCTTTGTATGTGGTGTTGCATCACAGCCCACAGAGAGGATTTTAATGATGGTCTCCTAATATCCTTGAGTCTATTCAGAAGAATTATACCCAAGAATGTGATTAAACATTAACGAGAAAGGCAGATAATCATTCAGGAAAACATTAATATGGTTTAATGGGAAAAAAGCAATTATACCCAGTGTTTTGCAATGACTGGTGAGTTCCAGTTCCTATCTTTAAGTAAAATAGCTCATTTTTTGCTGTACTGATTCATCTACCCACTTTTCCATTCAGTTTTTGGCTGTCATTTTGTAAATGAATTACATGATATTCATAATGATTTCATTTAATTGGGGAAATAATTTGTTACACAATCACAATATTTTAATCAAATTATGTACAATGAATAATTCTTTAATATTTTCTCATTTTTCAGTTCATAACAAAATTTCATCAATTACCTCAAAACAGATATAGTTTAACAATAATTAATAATAACTGAGAATCTAGAAATAAATCCACACATATTTGGTTAATTGATATTTTTACAAGGCTGCCATGACCACTCCAGAGGGAAAGAATGGTCTCTTCAAATGTTGAGGGGACACCTAAATATACTGTGAAGACAAATGAAGTTGGAGCCTTATCTCACACCAATGCAAATATTCCCTCCAAAAAGACCCACATAGGGGCTGGGGATTTAGCTCAGCGGCAAAAGTGCCTGCCTCGCAAGCGCAAGGTCGTTAGTTCAGTTCCCGGTACCGGAGAAAAACCAAAAAAAAACAAAACAAAACAAAAAAAAAACAAACAAAAAAACCAAAAAGACCCACATATTAATAGAAAAACTGAAATAGAGGAAATGCTGGGGGATATCTTCCTGACATTCAGTTTGGCAATCGTTTTTCAGATATGACACAAAAATATGGAAAGGACAAGGACAAGAATAGGTAACTGGCATATCAAGAAAATGAGAATGCTCT